AAGTCTTTTCTTTTGAATTTCTCTTTGAAAAGTTTGGTATTCACTTATTTTTTGTTTAGTGCCTAGGTTGTCTGATTTATTGGATGGAATCTAGTTAACAAAGATCCTTCTAGTGTCTAAAAAGATGCAGAATCTTGTACATGACTGGCTAAAAGCTAGGAGGATTGATATTAATTTTTTTTTGAGCTTATTGGAAATTGTATTACTTGTATTTTTTTTTTCTGTTATAAATTTTCCTGTTATTTTAAAGAAAAAGGGAAAAACAAGCAAAAATTTGTTAGTAACAGATGTATCAACAAAAGATTTTATCTTTCTGAACAGTTGTTTGTATTTAGTTATGGTCTTTTATAGGTTTTTACAATTAAAGATAATGTGTTTTTTAAAGTTTTTCTCAAAATTACCAAAAAAGTTAATTTTTGAGAAATTGGATGTTTTGCAAAAAAAGTTTTTTTAATAATCTTTGATTTTATTTTGTGATATAATAGAAATTTATCCAGAAATAATCAATAATTAATTTTGCATATAATAATAAGTATTTTTTGAGGTTTTATTCAAAACTGTAGGATTATAATTTTACTATTTGAGATTATTGCCCAAGATTCATTCAAGAACACTATACAAGAATATCAATTTCAATTAATGATTAGAGCTGATAATAATAATAAATATATTATAAAAAACAGGTAAAGAACTAGGCACTTGATTTATATCCTCAATGGTTATAGATTTTTTAATCTTAAAGCTCTTGTATATTGTGAACATGATTTTCGGCGAGTCTGTCGCTTCCCGGGACTAGCACAGGTTTCTTTAGTTGAGGCGTGTGATTTGACTTGGCTGGGTTTTCTATTAATTACTGTTCCTCTTGTTCCTCGCCCTTGTGCTTTCCCTAATAATCTTTGCTACCGTTCCTTCGTGGCCCTTCGGATTATCCTCTTTCCAAGCTAGTAGTACTAAACGAGGTAAGTTTATTAATTGAAAATTCCCTTCTTTGGCGTCACCGATCGCACTACTAATTTTAGTAATTCTTAATTAGTGTTCCAATATGGAGCACGAGATCTTTAGATGTTCTGTTTTTCTTGTTTTATTTTTCGATTCATTTTTTCGCTTTTTCATGAATACATTGTTCTTTTATATCCAATGCTACACTAGAATAGACTATTGCTAACATCATGGATTTAGACTTTTTAAGCTTACTAATAAACTATCGTCTAAACTACTTCATTTTCAACATCGCATTTCTGAGTTTTAGACATGCGACGCGCGAATCGCGTTACACGTCCATCCCTCATTATACCTTTTCCATTCACAATATAATATTCTTAAAATTACAGGAGATACTAAAATTTAAGAAATCAAAATTCCAGAAATTCCTAAATGCTCAATATATACCAATAATATTTTAGTAGTTGATTATAATACATTTACAATACTCAAATGTGGACATATTTTCTATAGAGTTTGTATAGAGAAAAAACATCTTACGATGTCAAATAAATGCCCTCTCCAAAATATAAAAAAAGTATTGAGATTATTTATTGAAGTCCAAAGCAATCTTTTCAATTAAGTAAAATTTCTGCTCTGACTAATAAAATAGGTAATGATCTTGGATTAACTTCTTCAGTATTTCTGTTTAACAATCAAATGGAGTCATTATTATTGACTGGAGGTAATTGTGACATTGGTCTAATATTATTTAGTAAGGTACAAAAAAAATAAATTATAAATAAACTACCTAATGAAAAAAAGAAATCTATGAATAGAGAAGATTCTTTCATATTGAAAAGACCAATTCAAGAACTTTTGACTGATGCTCTCAGGAATGCAAAAGCTTTATCATCTGAATCTATCTTTAAGTTTAATACATTATCAGTTAACTTTCTAAATTTATATCAAAAGATATAAGATTCTGAAGCTGTTAATAAAAAAATGACTTAAGATCTTATATGTAGCTATTTTCATTTTGGGAAAGCAATTGTGAAACAGTATAATTACTACAGAAAAGAGTATTCAAAGCATACATCCAAAAAAAAGATTTCTGATGAGATTAGAAAACAGTTTCCAAATTCAGTTAATGAAAGCTTACTTTAAAAAACAAAAGAAAGGGCCCTGTAAATTTATGATTTGTTCAATGAATTAGGAGAGAATAAGATTAAATGAATTAAGACTTTTACAGCAACAACATTAGCAGGATAATATTAATTACGTATTAGCTATAAATCAATAGTCACGTGACATTGTGATTGCTTGTCACAATCTATACAATAAATTTGTTCATTTTTTTTACTTTAATAAACTAGTCCCATCGGGTTTTTATTTTTAAACTGATTGACGAAGTGTATGCACATTGGCGTGTGCTGATTATAAGTGTCAAAAATAAATTGCTAATCGATGTGCATATATTTAATAATAAATCGTAAAGTTTGGAAATATCATCTAATAAGAAACTTGAGTGGGAAGATGTACCATCACTCACTGGCCCTCTTGACAAATCTGATATTATTTTCAATCCGCTAAGGATAATATATTTTTTGTATAAAATTCTAATACAGCTCTGCTAGATTGCATTTGTGTTGATAAGGGAGTTACGTAGCTATTTGTGATCTCCATTAATAAATTGGACTTAGGTAGGTCATTTTTAGTGGGGCCGACTTTGTTAAAATCTTCATCGCCTTGGTAAAATTTCAATAAACTAATCATTAAAAATTATGATATTTTTTCATAATAATATGTATTACAAATATTAGCTAAGAAATATAATATATCTTATACATGAATTTGTGAAATATGGAAATTTGCTATTGCGATAAATAACTTCTTATGAATGACTCAACCAATATATATTGTAACAGTGATCGGCAAGTCTGTCGCTAAGGAAAGTTCAGATTCGCGTAACGATGGTAAGTGTTTTATTTATGGTGAGGTGGAATTGATGTTGGCCGAAAAACTTTTCTAACTGGACTTCCTTTACTCAATTTCTTCCTTCTTTTATACATTCTTGCATACTTATTACATAATAAAAATGATAAATACAAATTAAGGAAAACTATTAAAAATTCTCATGACAAAGTAATCGCTATTTGATTTTTACACTACTCTTATTACATAATTCTATTGTTCGATCCCATAGTGTCATGATCGATCCTTGCATGACCCAGTCATGTGGCAATCGTTGCAATTGTGTCGTGACCCGACTTTCTTCTAACAGTTCCCATCTTCTCAGGTTCGCACTAGTTTCTATCACGCTCATTATGCATGATACCGCTGTTTTCTTCCCAATATCGTGGGGAACTCAGAATTCAGTGTGAGGTGCGTTACCTTTTCCCATGTTACAATATGGATAATTATTTTTGAAAGCGACAAAAATGCTAGATATGATTTTTCGGACCCAGCTTTTAAACAATACATATATAATATAAATTTTAGGATCACACTAGAAAATTTCCGGTCCACCTTCGAAAATAATTACCCATATGTACATTTCTCTCATTCTCATCACAAATATTTTCACAAAATATGATAAATATAACACTCTTGAAAAGATGGTTCAAGAATTCAATCTGCCCTAAAATTGAATCGAAATATTCTAGAGTAGAGTTATTAAATCTGATAAATCTAAATCCTAAATATGATATAAATAACTAAATATGACAGATCTTAATATTTCTATTATTATTGATAAAAAAGCTAAATCACCGAAACTCATTAATAATAGACCAGGATATGATATGAAATATGTTGAGTCATATATCTACAAATATTGTGGCATTAATGATTATCAACGATACTTTGATGATCTTTATGAAACTGAAAAACAATGTGATACTTTATCAGTTATTCGACCCAATGAAACTCCACAACAATGGGCTATTCGGGTCAGAATTCCGTTACAAAAGCTGGTTTCTGAAATGAAAAGAAGCGTATATCACGTATATAGTTTATTTGGTGGATTTGGAAATTCTAAGCTAATTGATCATGATTACTACAGGCCTAGAATTCATAAGGCCAGTGTGGTGATCTGTCTAGATTGTATGAAGCTTATTTATGTTGATAATGTAAATCAACAAAAGACATTACATCATGTTAGAAATACAGTAGATATGTCGAAACTATAAAGTCAGATGACATGATGCAGAAGCATTTAGATCACGAGTATGATAAACCTAAATACCGAGATGGATACGCGAGAATTATACAAACTGCTTATTGAAATTATAAGCAAAAGCCAGAATCAGAATCCATCAGAACCTGGGAAGCAGTCAGAAATGATGATACTTCCAAGAAGTTTTTATTTAGGTATGACTCCTCAAAAAATAAGAGTTCCTGAAACTTCTTATGCTGACTATGGTGGAAGAATGATTCGGGCTAAAGGTGTACCAGCATATACTCGAGATTTACCTGAAATGTGTCATCGTTATAGTACTAAATTTGGACAGGTGCTAAGAAATATCAATTACGAAATACCGCGTTTTAAATTTATTAGGATAACAAGGACAGGGTAATTAGTAGTAAACATAGGTATATAATGTTAAAAGTAGATGCGGAATCCCGATCAGTATCTCAATAATGGCTGTCAAGACATTGTCAGAATATAACTATTTTACATATACATGCTACAATATAAAAATATAGAATAATGGTCTAATGTCTACCGCGACTACAATGACAATGAGCATGAAATTGATGAAATCTAAAAGTAAGTCCGCCATTTTACGATAATCACCTCTAAAATAGTTATCGTTTACTTGATGTGCCCACAAAGTAGTAATAGTTTAATGCCTCTTTATGACTATACCCGACCTGATATTTCGTATTTTTCACAATACTAGCACCAGATGCAAAATTGGTTCGATTTATTTTCGACCACATTTTTTAGGTCTGATCGCCTGGTTACTGTTACAAACATGAAAATTTGAACCCAAATTAGTTCTAAATATCTCAATTAGGCCATTGTAATAATAAATGAACTCCCTGGAAGGTAAATTTTATTTTTTGTCCTCAAAATGAAAACTTTTGGAAATCCACTCTGGATTATTGTGCTTCTTTTTCTTTTATGTGTCCAAACCTCCTCAACTTTGGCCTACGTGAACAACACTTACCATGAATCTCGCAATAACCTCACCGTTGTTCAAACAGTAGTTTACCGTGATGAAACCATTTTGGTATTGTTAACCGGACCGAGTAACTCGTCGACGCAAACAGTTCTTGAGTTTCGTCTCATTTTTTCAAATGGGACCATAAAACCATTTAGCGTAACAAATAATTTGTTGGGGATTCAAAAACACGTTTATCAAATACATCCCTTGAATTCTAATTATTTCATTTTGGGTGACACTCTCAATATCACCGCGATCTTCTCACTTCTCGATTGGAATGGAAATATTCTTGTAAAGTAAGTCTAGATTTTGTAATTCTATAGCAAAAAAAAAGACTAATTGATATATTCTTTTTCATAGAAATATTTCTTCATTATACACCTATTTTAATCAACCTGGATTCATTACGTTCTTCCATAATGGAAATCAGCAATATGACACTTCACCATATCAATTGATACTTAATGATGATTCCGATAAAGAATTTTTCGGATTGGCATGGAATTCATCATTCATTCATTGGGCAATTTTTCAATACAAGTACGTTTATTTTTACATTTTTACCAAGAGAAAATAAGACAATTCATCAATTAATTTGTCAATTCACCTGTAGGGACCCAAAGCAGGAAATCTCTCTTGTTGTTAGTGACACTCTCTTAGCTTCACAACTAGTTAGCTTCATGGATGTCAGAGCATATAGCCTCATTGATGGGGGCTACGCAATTACCCAAGTCACCTATAACATGAGTTCGGAAACTCCCCCTCGTCCTAATGCTACAGATAACCCTAACAATCCATGGGACGTGTCAATTGTATTTATTCATCAAAACTCGACTCCACAAATGACTCAACCATTTTTAATTTACCAAACGCCCGAACTCTTGGACTCAATGTACATAAAGTCATGCCATGTATCAATCCAAGGTAAACTTGACCCAAGATTAATTCGTCGCATAGTATGCAGAAAATAAACTAATCAATTTATAATGTGTAATTTTTCAGGTTCTGGATACGAGTGTCTATTATCAGTAGTCTATGCTTTCTCATATCAAATCAAGCAACTCTCGTTTCTTTCTTCAGGCGCCAATCTTGGGCCCAAGGTCATAGCGCAATTTGCCAATTTTTCGTCAAGCTTTCACGGACAGTACAAAACTGAAAATTCTCTTCCATATGGTGGACTGGAATTTTATGAGCCGATAGCATATTCTGCAACAAATGTGACAAATCAGATGACTATTAGCGTGATTCTACCAAACTCTACACGTCAAGACGTGGTCAACGTTTCTTATGATTTCTCCTCTTGCTCTCTAGGACTTGATGCTCCTAGTAGTGGCATTTATTTGAATAACACGGTATAAAATTTTACTCTCCTAAATGTAGCCTTTTTTTCGTGTCAATAATTGTGTTTGACAATTTTTCACAGGTATGGATCCTCTTTTCTTGCCCACGTTTGACGCCAAATCAATGGAGTCTAATATCGCAGGTTTATCATTTTTCGTTCAGTATTGATTTCTTTAAAGCATATATCCAAAGCGGTTCAATTAATGTACACAGGACTTGCCGAAATACATTGGAAAAGGTAAACTTATTTTGGTATTTAATTGCACTGCCTATATTGAAAATATTCTTAAAACTGGATCTCTTGTTCTCATCAAGATATCGGATATCACAACCTTGCAATCAACCAAACTAATCCAATCATCGATGCGTCCATTTCTCTGAATTCATTAAGCCTGATCATATCATTTAATTTTCCAGTCATTTTATCGTCACGAAATATCAGCATCTTCAAAAGTAGTAATGACGGTTTTCGCCAAACAATTCCGGCTCAGTCAGGATCATGTTCAGTCAACAGCAGAAATGTGAATTGCACAGTTTTGCCAGTCACTTTTAATCAACCTGATACTGAATATTACGTGGTCGTGGACCCTGACTTTGTCCGGTCAGCCGAATACAATGAACCCTTGGCAGGGATAAAACCCAATCTTTGGAAATTTAAAACTCATAATGGTACGTAAATGTAACTCTCTAATCCGTAAAACAAAGATGACTCAATATATTTTGTTTCAGACGACACACCAAATGTATATGCAGGTAAGTGTGCCATTATATTGTCACAACTACAAGATTTTAATATCGTCCTTTTTCAGAAACCGCCACAGTTTTGACTCGATTCACTGCTCCCGGAACAACGTATTTCCTTGGACTTTCAGAGAATAATCGATCCGATTTCTTGGACCAGTTACAATCTGAACTGGCTGAAAGTGTTCCGGTCAATTTATCCCGCATTACGAAAACATCACGCTTTGTAGCAGACCCTGGCGTGCCTGATCACCTGTTATTAAAGTTTTCAATTACCTCAACGAATTCTCTAACAGAGATGAATACACAACAAATATTCGACACGCTAAATATCATGTTGAAGAATAAAGGAATATCACCTGTTGGAAGATATACCCACACTGCATTGCTTGACGATACATATGGATTTATAATCACACGTAAGTAAGTGCGTTTTTAGTATTGGTTTGATAACAAAGTTCTGACGAGATGGACTTTTGTTCAGCAAATCTTTGGGAAAAATACAGAATAGGCATTATTTACCTCGTTATTGGGATTTTACTATTGGGACTGATTGTATATTTTGCACGTCGGAGAAATCCACAGGTAAACCAAATCACATTCTATAAATTTTCATTGGCTCTTCTAATTTTTTTTTTTTGCAAAAGGGAAAAAGTTTTGAAATCTTTAAAGTCGTTCTCATTGTATTGGATCTTACCTTGGACGTGTTATTTGTTGTTACAAACGGAAAAAATGTTCCATCTTTGTACACACCAGCGTGAGTATCATTGCCATTTCCTTGTTCTTGATAAAGTACACTCTCTAACTTAATTTTAAATATAGTGTCGTTATCCTTGTGTTATCAATTGTGCTCAATTCGATTTTCGCTTTTGGTATTTTTGTACATGAAATTACTTCTAACAAAGAATATGTGGGATGGTACTCGAAATATGGAAAAGTTGCCTCCTTGTTCACATTATTTGCCACTGCCGATGTTGAAATCTTGTTGTTCCTGCGTTCCGAGTTTGCCGGGTTTTCCGTTTTTTATGCTCCGTTCACCGAAGTTTCACTCAGATATATATTTTTGGGTCGGACTCTCAACATATTTACCGAAAATATTCCTCAATTTGTGCTTCAGGTAACTCTATTGAGATTCCGCTTATATAAATGGTGCGACTTATTAATATTTTTATCTTAACAGATTCTTTACTATGAGAATTCGATTTCTTACGATATTATTCCGTTATTGACTCTTGTGACAAGTTCCATTGTCCTTCTGAACGACTTAATAAGTCACGCTTACGAACTTATCAAATACTTTTACTATCGCTATTATAGTGCGCCACCTGACCAAGACAAAGCCTAGCAAATATGACGCTCTGTGTAGAAACCATGTATTTTGTAATTTTTTCTTAGAAAATCAAGATAATCATATCAATTTATTGTAACTCAGTAATTCAATGATGGAATAAATACTGTATTATAATCATATCGTAATATGATAATTCATATTCACCATTATCTCTGTCAATTGCGGCGTTTCTTGATGCAATCGTCCCTCTGGCCTAGTTAGCTGAGCATATAAATTATCACGGGTGTTTCGAAAACTGCGTAAAATTAATAATGTATGAATTCTTAGATACAAAGTGTCCTGCTTTCGGAGACATCCATAAAAAAATTTATAATTTAACAACATATAACCTATCTATTTATCTATTTATCTGCTTTGATTTTACAGGACACAAACTCCCTATTTCAGATGATATAGCAAGTTTTATTTTTTTACATCCACCCAATTTCAATACAGGCAAGTAGGATGTAGTTATATTGTTATACTGTATTAATAATAATGGAAAAAATAATTATCTCATTATCGTAAATTACGTTACTCATTAGAAAGATCAAGAGGCTGGTCCCATCCCTTGTGAAGATATAGAGAGTTTTATTTTGCTTTAGTTAAATCGATAACAATAAAATCTCTACCTTGCAAATTTTTATCAAGTATATTGACAACATTGTGTATATCATCAGGCAATATTAACCAGCTCATCATATGTACTACTACCATTAAAGAGGATTATATAATCAAGATTGTTTCTTATTAATTTGGGACAGTTAAAAAAAGATTGTGTAATGTATATGCTAGAAATATTATGATGCTTCCCTTCAGCAAAATAACAATTTTTTTTTTGATTTTTTTATGATTGATACATACATCTTCAAATACAGCTACTGTTTCTCTCTCAGGAGAAAAGTCATTAACCTTTGGCATTTTATCAGGTTTCATTGCTCAGAATGTAACATCTTCATGATATGATTTAGAACCATTTGCAATTATTTTATAACAATTTCAGAGATGTTTATACTTGGGCTCATTAATTTGATGACTGATTAAAACCAAATTATCATTTTTAATATATCTTATTTTACCTTTTTTCCCACTAAACAATTGATACATTTTATTTCCAAATAAAAGATTGATAACTTCATTAGTTCTTGTTTGTTTACTGATTAATAAATTGAATAGCTATTGAGGTATACTATTAAGGTCATTAAATATCTCTATATTTTTGTATTTGTTAATATTCAAAACCATACTTTCAATAGAATCAAGCTTTTCTATTTTTATTCTAATCGAATAAGTCACTAATTATTATATTCGAAAAATATTAATTGAATCAAATAAGTATTTAGAGTTTTATCTTTATTCACATCTAAGATAAGCACTTACAGATTTAATTTTTATCTTATAAATAACCTTTTTCAATTAAAATGTTTTGGATAAAATCATAAAATAAATTTACATTATATGATATTTCAATAAGATCTATATCTTACTTTTGTATATATCCTACTTTTTTTGATCACAGTTCTATTGTACACCTATATCAGCCTCACTATTAGAATGAAAATGTTTTGGAACAACATAAATATGTTAAATGTCCTGGAATTCAAATATCAATTTTAATTCTTCATTATACTCATTTAATTGTATTTTATTCAAAAATAATAATTTATTAGATGGAAATTTCTTATCTAACAGATTTTCAAAAATATATTAAACAGATCTCTCACCTTTAAAATGTGAACAAACTGGATACTATTCAAATTTATACTTTACATAAGATATCTTTTACTGATGCTTTCCATTTTTAAAAAACCTAAGATATACATTAAAACTATTTAATTGGCTAGTTTTTTTAATATAATATCCATCTCACCTTTCAGCATAAGCCTGAGTATTAGTTATTTTATTAACAATACAAATAAAATTAACAGACCTAAAACAAGTATTTTCTTCCAATATACTTTGGGACAAATACTGAAGCATGTCTATATTTAGCTATATAAGCTTTTCTTTTACAAATCCATGCTTTTTTTTTTTTTTATAAAGTTCAGATAAGCTCACTCGAAATTTATTAGATTTGTTTTTTTGAAACATACATATATATACAAGTTTCTACAAATTGATTCAATTTAGGATTCACCCACAGGTATACCATCTGAGTATGCTTTTAACCCTACATTTTTCTGTTACATCTTCCAGCCTTTTAATCTATAAATCTCCTTCAGTTAGCTCAAGCTACTTTTTGCGAATTATCCATCAGGGTACTGTGTCTCTTATTACCATATGGTAGCCGATGGGACTTGTGGCCAATGGTTCAATACCTTTAAACTGCGGTTATTTTTTTTTAACCAGTAGTTGACGATCCTAGTCCTTTTAAGTAATACCAGGCTTCAGGCGTAAGCTACTTATTTAAGAGGGTACAACACCTTCAAAGTTAGATTAAGTCTTAAGGGGGATCTTCCATTCTGGCAATCGTTACCAACTAAGTACCTTCACTACAGATAAGAATGATGGGTATTGCTGGCGAGTCATCACTCATTGCGGAAGGGAGGAACGTGTTGGATGCTGCTGAAACCGGTTTTCAGTTTGTGGCTCTCCATATATTTCTTTTATAGTCTCATGGACTATAGGGGAAGTGAAACGGCCTATTATGGAACTGGGAATTACATCAAACTTGACAACGATTATCGTAACGCCAACCAGACGATCGTTACACCGCAGCACCTTTTCTGGAAATCACAATCTCAACGCTCGCTGGATCAGCGTGTGAAACGGCTTCACATGAGAAACAGCACATAACAGGTTATGGTACCAGATACCATATTGTTCTGTTCAATCACCTTCACCTAGGATTGAACCGGTATCTTGTGATTTGACCTGTGAAGTGTTAACCACTACACTATAGACCCAATTTTGATTCAATTTGATTTTAATATATAGATTATAATCCAACATTATTTTTAATAATATTTCAAATCTTATATGAATTTATATACTGTAAGTCTATTTAATTTCAATTTTCAGAACTATAGTGTTAAGTAATTATATTTAAAATTTTATCATAATAATAAAAAAAATAAAAATAATGTTTTTTATAACTTTTTTTTTAATTTTTTTATAAATTGTTATTAATATTTTTATCAATAACAGTGCTTAAATATAAGTTATATAATTAATAATTAATTAATGAAAAAACTCTTTCCCACTCCCCCTTCTATACTTGAAAATTTCCTTTTTAGGAAATTTTTGAGTTGTTTACTTTTTTCATTTTCCTTTTTCTCCCTCCCTCTTTACTTCAAATCTCTCAAATCTCTTTACTTCCCCTCTCCTATTTTTTCTCTTCTCTTCTATATACTCTTTTTTTTCACTCCACTTCTACCCCTTCTCTTTTCCCCTTCCCTGCCAAAGTTAGGTTTTCCCTTCTTTCTGAAGGTTTTCTTTCTAGGCCTCTCTCTCCTTTATAAACTCTGCTCTCCATAACATCACTCCTCTGGCCAGTCGGTTCCCTTTTCTCAAGACCATATTCAGAAGTGGTTTTTCTCTCAAGATGTGGGCTTCAGAATTTTTCTCTCTTCCATGGTCTTACAAAAAAAGGACAGATGGTTTACCCCCTCCAAAAGATTGGCATGGTCATCATTACCAAATCCAGTGTTGTTTACTTGTTGATGGTTAGACTAGATATATCTAAGAAACCGGTGTATAACTATTATTATCCAAAAGTATCCAAGAAGTTGCACCTCACAGTATTCATAGTGAAATGGAAGCCAATGCCAATGCAGCTAACAATAAGCTAGATTAGTGTGCAGGTGTTATGCTGGTGATTGGAGAAGTCAGTATAATAATACATAAAGACCAGGGATTCTAGTTACCCCCACAACACGAGCTAGTGATGACAACGAAAGTTTTTCGCTTATCCCTCTGACAATATAGGCTCATTGTACAAGGTTAGGTATCAATACTTTTAAGAAAATCCAACTCCACTACACATCCAACACTCTCCTCAACAAACCACCACCTTACGTCCAACCTATTTTCTATACTTATTGATTCTATCTTATCCTAAAATCAAGATATACCCTCCAAACTACTTTGACAGCAAGATTAATTACCGCTTCTCAGCCTACAGTCCTAGTGATGGGTTTCAAAATGTGAGATCTATACTAGGTAAAATGGTAAAAAATTAATATTGCCAAAGGGTTGCATTGGTGTTAAAGATGATTGCCACTCTCCAGCCTTTAGTCCTAGCAATGGATTCAAATAGAGGATTAATGCTAGGTGCAAATGGTAAAAGATTTGCTTTATTTTGGTGTATTTGGTATTAGTATAACTTGGAACCAACTCTTGCTCCACTTGTCGTACATCAAGCCACAGTTGGAAAACAAGTATGCCAATCCTAATTATGACTTGGAGGCCAACCTGTATATAGTGGCTATAGCGTCTTCATGTAATTAGGTAACCAAATTCTCTAGGTAGCTAGACGCCAGTCAAGGCATAATATAGGTTTTGAATTTTTTTTTTCTATAGTCTTGAGTGGTGCTAAGGAGCTCAGGCAGATGGGCCGCAATTGTGAACCTTACATTAAACTCTTTCTAGCAAAGAGAGATATACTGTATACTATGCCATAAGTTTGTAAATTTTGTACTTGCAAGTCTAAAATTTATAATAAAAATAGTACGTGGGGACCGTCTGTTCCTTCAAAATATATATATATATATATTAATTAATTAATATAATATTATTATTATAATTAACATGTAGATTTTATTAAAAATATTATAAAAATAAAATAATAATAATAAGAAAATTTTTGTCTAATATATTATATTTTTTCAATTTTTTATAACTTATTATTAAGAGAACCTGTGGGTCTATAGCACAATGACTAGTGCTCCACAGGTCAGATTACAAGATAATGATTCAAATCCTCCAAAAGGCTAATGTGGAAATCTCAAACTGGAAGAAAAGAATCAACATCTTCTGATCACCATCACAAGATATCAAATTCAGTTTCAGGTGAA